AAACCCCTCTCCAGGATTCTAGAATAAAGCACAGGGCCCAGTTTGTGTTCAGTATTACATGCTTACTGCAAGACAACGCCGTTGTGAAGGAGTCCTACCAAGGAACCGAGGCGAAGATCTTGTCCCTTTCCCTAACAACTGCAGGCAGGAGCTACAGCCAAAGCGACTAACTGATTATGGCACCTCATAATTCAGCCTGGCCTTGGCATGCTGCCCATCCAATTATTATTCTACATCCACTCAGAACATTATGACATCTCCAGAGCAACATTAAAATTGCTTATAAGAAAATTGGCCCATATTAATATTCTTCACTAACTTCTCTGACTTGACCCAAATAGCCATTATTTCCAAAGTGCACTTTGCATAGAAATCTGCACTGTATTTTGTGAGTTACTCTGTACTGCAGTTTTGACTTTCCATTAAAACAAAGAGGCATTTGAAGAATCCTTCAGAGCAAGTGAGCTTCCCCAGTGTTTCAAAAAGGTTTTAGGTGAGGGCATGCCTTCAGACATGTCCATGTTACAGGCCCAAGCTTCATGTATTCATTAAAAAAACATTAAAGACTATGTCAGGGTAAAATAAAAAAAAAAAACACAATCAGCACATTTCTGCAATGCATGCACATTTCTCCAGATTTCATCCATTTAAAGGCCCCAAAAGCACAGAAAAGTACAGAAAAGGCTCTTTACTTCCTATTGTGGACAGAGTGGTGTCAGCCTTGCCCAGTTGTCTTTTGTTAACCCACTGAATCCCTCTTCCCTCATTTCCATAGCATAGGCTCTAATTGTTCTATAGCAGGGGTCTCCAAACTTTCTAACCAAAGGGCCAGTTTACTGTCCTTTGGGTTTTGGAGGGGGGCTGGACTGTGGCCAGTGGGAGTAGAAAATATCCCAGCATCAGGGGAGTATACAAACGCCCCATCATTGATTTTAGTAGGAGGACTAGTTCCTCAATTTTGGCATGAGTGGGAGGAATAATGCCCAATTGATAGTGTCAGTGATAGGAATGGTGCCCCATAGTTGGTGTCAATTGGAGCAATAGTGTCCTAAGGGCTGAATAAAGGCAATCAAAGGGCCGCATCTGGCCCCTGGGCTACAGTTTGGAGACCACAGTTCTTTAGTCTAGGATTAGAACTGGGAGGGTTCAATTAGGCTCCTTGAAATAACACAAAAAGAGTGCATAGCTGTAGTACACTGGATGGATCTAAATTTTTGACATAATCAACAGGTATTTTTTGTCTCTTGTTGAACAGAAATAACAAAAATGCTTTCAATGGCGTAGTTACCCAACCAAAGGAAACAAAAGAGTTCAATGTTAGGGTTTACATACACTTTAAAGGTATTTTTACCTGAACATCAAGTAAATGGAATTGTCCTTATCAGCCTACTATACTCCTTAGCACACTTGCACTCAGTGTATTGGGTGGGAGGAAGAGCAGTACAAGCCGATCATGGTTGGCTTTAGTGCACATGTGCTTTTATTGAACATGCTGAAACAAGAACAGAGTGAGCATATGGATAACTTTTCAGTATGCATTCTTTCCAGTGATAGCCAGTAGAATGGGGGTGCCCTTGGCCTAGCTTTTCCATTGATGTTGTGGAGATTGGGAACCTGGCCGTCCCAAATTGCAGTGGTTCCTTTTATCACAAAATTGGACAAAGATAAAAATCACCTTTTGCGTATATCATCTTTATACCAGTTCACATCTAAGCAACAGAATGTGCTGTGCTCTACAACCCATTTGGGTGACCTCCAGTCTTCTAGTCCACCCAACAATGAGAATGCCCCTCACCAATTATAGTATCAATAAATTAAATGTAATATTTTATTTATTGGCCATAAAACTGTTCTCTAAAAAACTGAATACTTCCACAGTGGCAGTGGGAGAATAAAAGGTAGGGTAGTAAACAATAATAATGGAGGTCTCCTGCACTACTAATAAGTCGTAAATCAAGTGTGTGGGAGCTGCTAGCACTTAACCATATACCAAGTGAAAATAATAAATGACTAAATGAAATGACGTAGCGCTACCCTAAAACCATAAAATAATACAATATGACAAAAAATGCAAAGTGAATATAAGTACATATAAGTGACAATAAATCAGTGAATTGATTCTCTCTGGGATTTCAAGTGAAAAGCGTGATCTCGCCTGGTATTAGGACCTGAAGAAGCCACGTGATGTAACGCGTAGGACGCGAGCGTGGTGACGTACATCCGGCGCAGACACCATCTTGCTGCACCCAATGTTCCCATGCAAGTACACCTTTAGCATGAGGTTTTGAAGCTTGATATAGTCTTACACATTGTGAGTGGACATTTGGCTGTACTGTATTTTGAGAGATTATTAAATACGGATTTACACTATGGGAGGTTTCTCTTTATCTTTACCCTACTTGTGAGTTAGTGGCTGGCTGCTTTATGCTGGAGGGGACCTGGCTGTTCCTAATGAGGGGGATATCATCTACCTGAGCAGGTGTACATAATGTGAGGGACCTTCATCAGCGAAGATTCCTGACTCCAAATAAAAAAAAATGTTTTTTACTTTTGCAGGTGAGAGTAGAGAATGCCCTAACATCAATGAGAGTAAACAATACTTTATCAGTGGTATCAATGAGTGGAATAGTGCCCCACTGTTGGTTTTGGTGGGAAGAAGAGTGCCCCTTCATTTGTGTCAGTGGGAGAAATAGTTCACTGTCGTTAGTGTCAGTGGGAGGAATAGTGCCACATTATTGGTATTAGTTGCAGGAATTGTGCCCCATTGTTGGTGTCAGTGGAAGGAATAGTGCTTCATATATTTTAGTGCCCCAAAGATCAGATAAATACAAGCAAAGGGCCTCAAGTTTGGTGACCACTGCTCTGGGTGTTTTAAGTTCAGGTCCCCATTTATATAAGCTAGGGCTTCTCTAAGTGAAACTATTATTTATCCATGTAAACCCACATAGTGTTAAGCAACAGGTTTGTTTTAATTGCCCCCCAAGCATATACTCATCTTTCCTTTGCAGATCTATTTAGCTGATGAGGGCGGAGAAAATCTACAGTACTTCCAAGTATGGAGGAGCACGTGACAAAAGCCCAATATAATTTACATCCTTTGAGGCTTCTGCTTCCAACTGCTGAACAAAGTAAATGGTATTTGCTGCTGGGAAAGGGGCGGGGATTAAAGAGAACCTGTTGTTTTGCCCTTCAAAGTTCAAGGCCACTGGGGTTCAAGGGGCAAAAATCTACATCACCTGTGACCATGGTTGTCACCCTCCATTTGTTCTGTAGCAGGTATGGGTGGATCACAAATATATGATCATTGCTTTAAAAATCTTTTGGCAGAAAAAACTATTTCTTTATGCATGTATAGTGTGTAATTAGCAACTTGGCTAGAATTCCTTTCTTTTTATAGGCAGGCATTTTTCTTAAGCTCCTGTAATAGCACAATGGCAGGACTTGGTGCTTCTGTGAACTTACATTTTTCCACATTCAAATGTCTGGACACTTGGCATGATTCCCAACAAGCATTTGGTTGTATATCTCAAATCTAGCAACACAACATATGCCAAGTGAGACATCCTCTACAGGCATAAATCTAACCTAAATGCCTTGTCCGCAAGGTGCTCGCTCAGCAGATGGTAATGGAATCGCTGACAACTGCTTGCATGAAGCAGTTCCTTCTCAGTTCTCATTTCACACACAGCACCACTATGTAGCTGTAGACGCGGGGTAAATTGGGTGCCTCCAGCTGGGTTACCGAAAAATGTACAGCAAGGATGAGGCTCTCGACAGCTGTGGGTTCTCCGATTAAAGGAAAACTGTAATTTTTTCATCTTTTTTTAATATAAATTTCAGAATATTCATTTTAATATGAATTATAGCAGTGTGTGTTTTAAAAACTCTTAGACACTTTTATTAAAAGATAAACATTTGGAGGTAATTATGACGTAAATCTGCAGTAGTGCGTATACAAATAAGCATTTTAGGTTAAAGTGGATCTTTACCCAGGTCCTCCCTCCTTCTTCTTCCTCCTGTTACTTACACATTTTAAAAAAATGTATTTAAAATTAAAATCTCTTTCCTCATTTTTTTTTACTTGTTAAATTCCAGCTTAGGCCAGGATGACACCATAACCCTCCATGGCACATGTCGTGGCTCTCTCACAATCTCTACCCAGAATGTATCATTTTAATATTAATGATAATAATAATTGTATTTTTCTTTTGGTGAAATGGTATAGTGTAGCATTCATGTTCTCATATTTATCTGAAGTTTTTGTGTATTCTTTCTGACACTTCCAATACTATTGACTATTTGGTTTTAAATATGGAGGTGATATTGTATTGATATCAGATTGATATGAAGATCTCCTTATGTTCTTTCTAGCCTCGATGAGGGGGGGGCGCCCCAAAAATGCGTTGGCTACTTTTCTGGATTGAATCTTCTAACAGTGGTGTAGCGCTTCAATTTCAATTTTTGTTACTTTGACACTCTGTGACTCTTTAGCCTATGTGTGCAAAGGCGACTTTTTTCAAACTGTCTCCTGGCATGCGTGACATGGCAAGGGACTGGACTGGCCTCTGCGAATGCATGCACAGACATGTGGGGGTCTGTGCCAGGTTCCATAGAGACTTGGCGAGTCTGCGTATGTGCTGGATCTCTGTTAAAGATGGCAAAGCTGGTAAAATGGAGCAAAGGGAGAATTTTTGCTTGAAGCAAGACAATGTTTGACTCCGTGGTCTAGTAGCTAAATGTTAGGGATTTTTATTTTTAGGGGGTCAGGAATTTCACTGTGTGTTTTCAGTGAATCTATAAACGTTCTGCCATTTTTAGGCTCCATGCACACTGGCTTAAAAAAAACACCAGTGCTCTTGGCAGAAAAAAACGCAATTTTTGAGCATTTTTTTTTGTACTACGTTTAGGAGCATTTAGTGTTTTTTTTCTGCCAGAAAAAAGCTCTCAAAAACACAAAACAGGTTTTTTTTCATGCCTCTGAATGCTGAGCTTAAAGTCTTACTAAACCCAGGACCCTGCATTCACTATTTCTGGTCTCCCCGGACCCTGCATTCACTATATCTGGTCTCCCCGGACCCTGCATTCACTATATCTGGTCTCCCAGGACCCTGCATTCACTATATCTGGTCTCCCAGGACCCTGCATTCACTATATCTGCTCTCCACGGACCCTGCATTCACTATATCTGGTCTCCCCGGACCCTGCATTTACTATATCTGGTCTCCCCAGACCCTGCAGTCACTATATCTGGTCTCCCAGGACCCTGCATTCACTATATCTGGTCTCCCCAGACCCTGCAGTCACTATATCTGGTCTCCCCGGACCCTGCATTTACTATATCCGGTCTCCCAGGACCCTGCATTCACTATATCTGGTCTCCCACAGTACACACAACATGGAAATGCAATTATTTTAGTAAATATAAACTGTTAAATACCTTTTGACATCAGCAGTTAAAGCAGTCTTCTGACTTCTATCATTCTCCAGCAAAGCACTGGTTAAAGCTTGTAGGAGGAGTGTTTCCATTCTCCGCTGATTATCCTATGAGGCTGCAGGACACCTGACCCTCTGTCTGGACAGCACTGATTGGCCCTGTGCTGATCACATGCACTCTACCAAGAAAAAAAACTCTCTAGCAATACACACCAAACTGAGCACATGCAGCTTGCCCCCAAGGCTCTGTTCTATCAGCAGATGGATTGGGGACAGTAGAAGAAGGGGAGGATCAGAGAAGACAGGATCAAACAGCCGTTTTACACAATGCAGAGGATTAGTCCATTAGGTTCAACATTGAGTACAACAAGCATGCTTTTCTGCATATACAGACTGATTTTACTGTTGTGGGTTTGGTAACACTTTTAAAAACACCTCTAGATTGCCTAACGTGCATGTACACAAAGGATAACATTAGTTGCTTCTACAGGCAAAATGCTAAACTCCTCTAGGAGCAGCATTTTTTTAAGCCAATTTGCATGGAGCCTTAAAGTTAAACTCTGTTTTTTCAAATACAAAAAGTGTATGTACTTGAATGTGACCTGGTATCAGCCCCTTGCAGTTCCTGTATGGCAGAGCTCAGACTGGGAGAAGGAGAAGAAGTATGAGGAGTCATTTGGTTGTAAATGCAATGCTCATGTCCTAACAAGAAATATACTGATAGAAGGAGAATGCAAAGTGACCGAGAGAAACGCTCTTAGTGTGCTGCTTCTTTTACTGTCTAGTCACAGGCTGGGGTTAGGGGCAAGATTTGTGCTGCCTAACTTCAGAAGTGAAATATCAGGTCTCTTTTCTGCCACACAGGGCTGTGGTATGCGGAAAAGCTGTGTAAATCTCAGGACTGGATGGCCAGAAATACAAATCCTTAGCTGTTTGCCTTCAGCTTAAAATGAAAAGATTAGCCCATAAAACACCTTCTAGCCAGAGACCACGTAATCTTTAGGGGGGTTAGCAGCTCCCTGACAACAGTTTTATTTACAGCAAGAAAAGGGTATTTTTTTCACTTGATGTAAAACTATGATCTTGTAATACTGACATATGCCCTATTGATTGATGGAAAGGGTGACTTTTACTGATGAGACCAATTTATTCATCGCTTGAGTTCAGACTTGCTACATTATCAGTCTGTGATGTATTTGCTTTGTATTCTTTATTGGCTCTCCTATATTTAGTTACCTTCCTTTTTCTGTTGTGCTTTATTTTGTTGTGATGTGGTCTTTTCCTCACATTTCACTGGCTGTCATGTATGCTTTGTCCACAAAAGTGCCCCTGTCTGCAGTGGTATATTTAGGTTTCGTGCTGCCCTAAGCAACACAAAAACCCCCCCCCCCCCACGGAGAGACCCTGACACTGACCAACACCCCCCTTCTCCACAAAGAGAGCCTGACATTGACCAACAACACCCCAGCCCCCCCTACCCACTCGAGAGAGCCTTCTACCACCATCGCCCCCATACACTGGCCACCCCCACACCCCAGCGAGAGAGAAAAGACACTCACCTTCACAGCTCTGGACATCCCCAGGAATAAGAATTGGGCTCTGCATACACCATCAAGCAGCCGGCAGACTCTCTCTGATCCCACTTGGTCCCCATGCTGTGTGTGTCCCTTCTTCCATCCCTTCTGGGGGGCGGCACTGCTTCCCTGAAAAATGCTGCTGCCCCCTTGAAAAATGCCGCCCTAGGCAAATGCCTTGTTTGCCTTGTGGTAAATACGCCCCTGCCTGTCTGTAAAAAGCTGCAGGGTGATTCCTGAAATGATTGTAATGACCAATAAATGCCAGTCTTGTGTGCACAGTGCGGCTCACAGGAGCCTCAGAAGAGAAGCTGAGCATCTGGGGAATCTTTGTTTAGTTGTTATCAGCAGGGGCAGCGGCAAAGATCTAAGCAGCAGAACAGGCTCCCCCTTCCTTTAGATTGTAAACCCCATGAAAAGGGCCCTCCTATTCCTTCTATATTGAACTATATTGTAACTGTACTGTCCCCCTTTATATTGTAAAGCGCTAAGCAAAATGTTGGCACTATATTAATCCTGTATAATAATATAATAATAATAAAAAAGAGCAGTGATAAAGGTCAATGTAGGCTTTGGATCAGAGTTGTAACTAGAATCTTCAGTGCCCTGATGCAAGAAACCATAAAAAAAACATAAAAAGCCAAAACAGTATTTTTCTGTTAGGATAGAGTAGGGAATGGTTAAAACTTGTCATTTTCTTTTTCTTTGTCTAGCTGGGGTCCATTTGTGAATATTTCCCATCGCTCTCCTATGGACACAACAGGAAATAAGAGGAAATCTCTCCAAAGTGAAGGGATATCTCCTCTTAGACAGCTGTCACGAGAACAGGTTTCCCCATTGGAAGATATCCCCTTATCTTCAATGTCTGTGAAAACTCAAAAATTTTTACTTCCCATAATTTCTGTACTGAAAACACTTGTGAGGCTGACTCTCCCCAACAAGGGCTCAGGCAGCAACATAACAGCCTTTGTTGACTGGCTTTTGTTCACTTGAAACGGGTGACGCATTCCTGTACAAGTCTATGGGAAGCAAAACCTGATTGAAGCAAGTCAACTGCAGATCAAATGCACCTGCGATAAATTCTAAATGATCACAGGTGCGTCTCAAACTGATATGAATATGATGCCATGGACACAAGCCCAAAGTTTGTCATCAAAGACCCTAACCCTGGCAAGGGTCCTAATCCTTCCAAATCTAAAAATAAAAAATTAACAATGTGGGTTTACAAACACTTCAACCTTTTATTGGAGAAAAAGGAAAAAAGCTTTTGCTACTTGACCGTGTGTGAACTATGCCTGAAATTGAAAAACAATCCCAACAGGTCCCATTAGTGTGCCAATTGTTGGAACATGGATAGATATCTCACTGCCCACCCTTAGCAAGATTTACCCATCCATCCTTAGCCACTGCAATGGGAGTCAAGGCTGGGGAAAGTACACACTATTTTTTGTAGGTACACACTATTTTTTGTAAGTACACACTATTTTGCCTCTACATTGACCTTCTCTAGCAAGGAGAGTAGACACAGTGCTTTAGACACTGGAAAAGCGGTCTTCATAATTGACCAGTGATGGTGATCATGTGATGAGCATCTGTACAGATTGATTCCTCATCTTCTGTTCAGGAATCAGGATACTGGATCCCTGGACACAGAGAGTGCACAGTGTGATGAAAAACCATGTACCACAATGGGTAACATTTCCTGTTTTAAAGTTATTACCACAGTTGGCTAATTGTGGTGGATCGGAAATCATGCAAAATGGTTCCTGGACTCCTCTGGGGTACCCATAGCTGCTTTTATAAGCCTGGTTGCACCAACTTTCCATGAGTAGGAAAAGCAAGTGATAAAGAAAGGCTTTTCTTAACATTTTAATACTGATGCACTGGGAGGGCTAATGCAGGTCAATGAGTGGTTGCTAAAAATTTGTAAAGAAATGCGTGTTATTGACAGACAGATAAGAGCACCATTTTGCTCCCCGGCTCATTCATTTCGAGCTTTGTAAGGTGGAGCATTTTTTGGAGGCATGCTATCGGAAGTTTGAGGTTCGCTGGACCCACCAGGGAGACTAAGATGATCCCAGAGTGAGATTTACCATCCTCGATGACTGGATGCTCTCTTTACTGCTGATGGGGCCCTGATGTCCACCGATGATCCATTTGATGTCATACATACAATGCTCAGTTTGTATGTCCCTGTGGTAAGCGCATAATCGCACTAGTTTTTCTGAACACACAAATCTGGATTTGGAACGCACGAATTGCATCAGATGTCACCGGGTGTATCCCATACCTTTTATATCAGCTAGCATTGATTTATGAACTCATTAATATACGTTTTTTTCTTGTTTATTTATGAGTCTTAATACAAGGACTGCTATATGTTGTTGATATATGATGATCTCTATATCTATATATCTAAATATTATTCATCTTATCATTCCATAGCGCTGCCTACCCTATGCATATTGTTTCATTTTGAGGTGCTGAAGATTGCCTTATATGCCAGTGGCTCTCTCTCTCTGTGTTTTGCTCTCACTTACCTCTATTCTGATTTATATTAAAGTGATTACCACAGTTGGCTAATTGTGGTGGATCGGAAATCATGCAAAATGGTTCCTGGACTCCTCTGAGGTACCCATAGCTGCTTTTATAAGCCTGGTTGCGCCAACTTTCCATGAGTTTCCCAATACAGATATATGTGTTTGGCAAGGGGTTAAAAAAAATAGTGCTTACAAAACTAATGTTGCAGCAATGCAGGTTTTATTTTGGTGGTAAAAACGGTAGAGGTAAAAGGACAGAGCAGGGAAATAGCACAAGACATTTATCTGCATTAGACTTTCTATAACTGGTTCAATTCAATTATTCTCTTTCCACACTAAAAGCTAAAGCACACAAACTTTGTCTTGCTTGTGCGATACATCAGCAAAGAGGGAAGCATTTATCAACATTATGTTGTGTTCATGCTTTGAGGGTAGAGAATTCTCTAGTGGGGCTTGCCAGCCTTCTGTACCCTCCACTCGTGAACGTCAAGTCAGCTGAGATCTGTGCACATCATTTATATACATTAGTACCAAGTTAAGCCTAGACTTAGGACTTCAAGGCATTATTCCTTCTGCGCATCCGCCCAATGCAAAAAAAATTACTGCAAGGCCTCTGAGTTGTTAAGTGGAGCTGAGTGTGGAGAATTAATATCTTCAGGTTGTTGGGGGTTTCCTACAGATAACGTTTTACAGAATGTCTTCTAAGGCAATATTCATGAAGCATGGGACTATTATTTAATAGTTTTATATAACAGCAATGAGTGATGAGGCAAATCTTTTAGCCAGGTTGGGGTGATATGAAGCAAGTGTATATTTACTGCCTGTTCTGTTTCAGTTGGAGCCTTGAGCAATCAGACATACTTCCTAAGACTCAGTTTGTGTGGACATTATAGAAACTTGGTGGCAGAAATCCACAGGCTATATAAACTCAGCAATAGAACTCAAATTGAAATCCGGTGTAACTTTGCAGGGTACAAGGATGTTTTCTGAGCATTTCTGAGCATCATGGGACAATAAGCATTTTAACTCTATGGGGGAGATCTATATCAGATGAGTACCACTATACTAAACATGGGATTGCTTTGCATTGCAATAACTATTAGAATGGCACTACCCAATGGAATGATTTTGGCATTAATGCAGTTAGCTAAATGGCTTGGGTGAGGTTCAGAAAGGGCATCTGTTGACGTAGGGATTTTATCCTTATTAGGCAGCTTGCAGGGGGGTGCAGCGTAGCATGGTGGAAATAACACATATAGGCCCAGTGCAGTGAAAGAACTTATATTGAGATGATGCAAATATAGTTCATAAATAATCCTGTGGGAAGACAGCCCAGATGGGAACACTCACAGGTTCAACAGCGTGTAGAGAGCAAGGTTCAGCCAAACGGACAGCATCTGTTGAAAGAGGCAGAATGCGGAGAAGTTGCAAGTCCTACACTTGTCAGAAACCTTTCCATGATGCTAGTACTGTCCCTACCAGGTATGGTACCTGTCCCTACTCTACCAACTCGCAAAATGTGCGCTAAACCTGGGAACCAGGTCCTTAAATAGGCGCTTCCTAATGGCTGCTAGAGTCATATGGGGTGGCAGCATCCAATGGGATAGCTTCCCCAGTGATCCAGGAACCGATAGAGGAACCTTTTTCTTCTTGACTTCCTTTCCAACTGCAGTGCCACTGCAGAAGAGCGCCATCAGCAGTGGAGAAATTAGGCTGTACCTGCCTGCAAGCTGAATGCACTCAAGTTTCGGAAATTGATCTGCTCAGTTCCTTCTATAGGCGCAATAATAAATCAGACGTAGTTGTTCTACCTGAAATGTCCACAGAGCTAGCATGTGTGCAGTGTGTAGGAAAAATATTTCCCTTTATGCTGAATAAGTCAAAGAATTCTCAATTTACAAGTGAATGACTGCTTTGGTAATGTAAGACAGCATACATCTTGACTGCTTTCTCAGGATGTCCTTGGAGAAACACCTTAGCAGGACATATTTTTTGCACATTTTTTTCCCCACAGTCACTTTGACGTGACTTTTGCAGTTGACTGTTGATTGTTGGCTTTCTCCGCCGTGATTTAATATGAGTGAGAAGTCTTTAGTGGGTGCGGAGGCATGATTAAAGGAGTCTGGGTGTAAGGCTGATACATGCAAGCTGCTGTCACATTTTGAGCACTGTAGGATTGTAGTCTTTGTGCCCTAATAATGCAAAACATCTAAAGCAAATATCATAAGTTCTTAGGAAATCTTTGAGTTCTTCCGAGGGCTCTTGTCTAAAAGCACAACATTTTCTGAGAGAATGTGGCTTGTTTAGATGGAACAGTAATTCGATTCTTATTTCTATCGTTCCTATTATCACAGGCATTGGCGACTGGGGGTTCAATTCCTGTCTTTCTGCCAGATCTAGCATCTCTAAAATCCTTGCACTTTGGTGTAGGGTTCTGGCACCATGGTGCCATGAATTTAAAAGTGTTTATGTCAACAACTGAGAAAATTTAGTCATTTTTGGTTTTTGCTATATCACTGATGAATTACGAGGAAAAAGGGTGGAGAGGACAATTGATATTGCCTTTTATATCTATGACTTACTGTTACCCTATTTTTTCTTTAATATAGAATGGAGATTTTGGCTTCCCTAGGTTTACACAATGTGCAGTGTCTTAGTAGTCATGGTTTGGTAAGTGTGGGTTATTCTTTGTCATTCCTAGTTCAAGAAGATCACTAATTTTCTGGAACTTATGGTTGTCCATGTTGGATAATTTAGAAAATTTCTGCAATCTTTTGAATAAAGCAAGTCTGATAACTTCAGAGTTTCTATACGTCTGCTCTCATTTCTCCCATGTAAGAAAAATACATTTGTGGTTCATAGATATATACAGGTTTAAGTATTTAACATAGTCCATAGATTAAGGGCCTAACCAACTAATTAGTAGGCCAAGCCTTTCCATAGGAGGGATGCTGAGGTCCTGAACTACAGACTTGAACATAGACCTCCAGTTCTTGTAGTTCTCTAGTATCAAGGTCCTACCTTTTCCCAGAGGTTATGCTGCTCCATGTGCTGGCATCCATCTTGGGTTTCTGTAAAGCATGGTGGGAGCCTTTTATGCTTTCAGGCCTCTGCGGTCCATCCCCCAGAGGGGTGTGGTTGAGCACATTTAAGCCTGTTGTCTGGACTTGCTCTTTGCATTCGTGTCCTGTTTGATAGTGTTGTTGTAAGCTCTTATTCTACTCTCGTGGCTCTCCTGGAAACTGACTCGGCTTTATCTAAACTATTCTCAGCCTTATCCCTTTATCTGACCTCCCGTTGCTGAACCGGCTTGTGACCTGTGTATTCTTGTCTACCGTTCTGTACTGTCTGTCCCGCTGTTATCGGACCCAGCCTGTCCGACTTCGCTATCATTCTTATCTGGTTCCTACCAGCTATATGCCATTGGTGGTGGCCATTACCGCAGCTGGGGTTTCTCGGGGGCCGCGACCTGGTCCCTGGCTGCGTCAAGTCCATCCCCACCATTAGGGGGGCCCTGGTCCGGTCTGTGGGTGGTGGTTGTCGTCAGTCGGTGCGTGACCCTGCCATTAGGCCTGCCTGTCCATTCCACAGCTCCTGCCCTGACATCTAGGCAATTGTCAAACTGCATAAGGTTAGTGTTAATAGGTTCTCTAAAAATGATGTACCTTGCAAGGATTTATATATTTGTTTTGTATGGTCGTGTCACCACAGGTGTTCCTTCACTGTTGCAGTAAGTGGCAAGAACAGGTACTTGAAGTTCTGGAGGAAAAAACAAAGTAGTGGATGGGGATGCGGTCAGTCCAGGTGGAAGTTTTGCATTTCATAGTGTGAATTTCAAGAAGCATGTAACTGAACCCAAAAGGTTTAAACAACTTTTCAGTCTGAGTTCAGGAGGTTCTGTGATGGCACATAGGTCACTGCATAGAGTGTAAGCAACTTGGAAGGCAGAGAAGCAGCCGATCTGCCATAATGCTTGTCTGATTGACTGCTGCAGGTTCTGCTAGCAAATGTGAATGTTGGATGGTGCACAGGACCTCAAAGTGTTCACTGCAATTGTGTTGTCATTGTTCTGGCTTAGGATTGCAACATCCATCTTGCATGGTCATCAGAGACTGTCAAGATAGAACAATAGGATTCTGCCTACACAGCTCCTTTGAAGACTCTAAGCTTAGCTAAAGTGACACCTTCTTTATTTTCATTTGAGGAACTTCTAACTTGAATTCTGGCTTGACCTGTACAGCCATTGCTTTCATTTCAGCCTCTTCTTAAGTCCTTGCATCTTGCATTGGGTACCGCCCTGTACATGTCTTTTCTGCTTTTCTTTTATAGTTGACTGCTTAGTTGACTACTTAAAGTGTTACTAATCCCAGGACCCTGCATTCACTATATCTGGTCTCCCACAGTATACAGCAAATGGAAATGCAATTATTTTAGTAAATATAAACTGCTAAATAAATTTTCTCATCAACAGTATATAGCAGTCTTGTGGCTTCAGCAGAGCACTGGTTAAAGCTTGTAGGAGGAGTTTTCTTTCTGCTCTAGAAGAATGCAAAACCACTGACCTCTGTCTGGACAGTGCTGATTGGCCCTGTGCTGATCACATGCACTCTCCCTTAAAAAAAAAAAAAAGCCTCTTTAGCAATACACACCAAACTGAGCATGTGAATGTGACTACGGGTTCAGTCTGTCTTTCTGTCTTATCAAGAGATAAGACAAGGACATTTGAACAAGAGGAGGGGCAGAGAAGAATAATCAAATGGCCTTTTTACACAATGCAGAGGATTAACCCCTTAGGTTCCACAGTGAGTATAACAAGCATGCTTTACTGCATATACAGACTGATTTTACTGTTGTGGGTTTGGTACCACTTTAAGATTAAGAGTGCATTCACACCCTGCCTCCAATTAGATGTGAGAACCCCAGCGATTAGCTGCGGAAGGCAACCCCACTGAACTTAGAAGCTTCCGACTCCCACAGCTAATCATGGGCATTTGCATGTTGTGGGTTTTGTAAGATGTTAATAATGAACACTGGCAACAGCAAAATTGAACAAGATCTTAGCTATTTAGAGTATCCTTTGGAGGACGTGGAATTGGTAGAGTAGCAGGATGTAGTTTCATGAAATAATGGTATCCTGTTTTCTACCCATAACCTGGCCTCTAAAAACGTAATGTGTGCATGTTGGTTCAAGGCTGTAAGTGATTTAGCTCTTGTAAGGTCCTCCGCATAGTGAGGGGAGCAGCATGACCGAATCCGCATGATGGAGACTCTAGAAAAAAAAAGACCCTGTGTGCATGGGTGAGGTGGCCCTGCCCACAACTATAGCCAGACACAGTACGTGTAACACAGGAGACTATAATCTGATCTTCGGTTACTTCAAAAATGTGATTTGTAAGCAGATCTCAGTCTTTAATTCAGTGAGTTCTTACTCACAGACAGAAATCATATGCATTATGAGCCACAGGTAACACTTTACAGCAGATAGGGCACAGTGTATAAATAATATATTGAATTACGCCCTTTCACTGTTGTGTTTCAACTGTTGCTTTATGCAATTGATTATACCCCCTGAGCCCCAATTTTGCAGACAGTATGGCAACTTGCTGATCTGGCAGAAATCCACAGGCAGTCTCAACTCAACAAGATGACCCAGAGTGAAATCCAATGTAGTTTATTTGAGACTCTGCAGGTTACAAGGAATTCAGCCCTTTGCCTGGAGTTTTGCTTCAGGTCCTGTCATTATAGACAGGTTTCTGGTAACAAGTTAGCATTTCACCATCCTAATTTTTCATGGTCTCTTGGCAATCAGTGCTGAAATCTGTACAGTTTGGTTCTTATATAGTACAATCATGTCACAATTTCACATCTCAAAGATTACAGACTGTGAGACTGCTATTCTCTGCCCCAAAACATCTCCTATTGGATTGATAAGAGTCCACTATCAGTAGATAGTAATGAATATGGATGAAAAGAGCGATTTTGGCTAAACTGATTTTGCAAAATTTCACCAAAGCAGCAACTCTTAGTTTTGTTTATTTTGCTCATTGAACTACTAAATCTGTTATTTTTCTATTGACCTTTTGAAGATTTACCCCTCCCCCCCCCTTCATGACTAGGCCATTTTTTGCGAAAAGGCAATGCATTACTTTAACTGACAATTGTGCGGTCATGCAACGCTGTACATAAATTAAATTTATGTAATGTTTTTCCCCATAAATAGAGATTTCTTTAGGTAGTATTTGATCACCACTGCGTTTTTTTTTTTTTTTTGCGCTATAAACGAAAAACAAAATATATAGAAAAAATAAATAAATACATATATTTTAAAAATCAAAAACTCCTCCATAAATTTAGACCAGTATGTATTCTGCTATACGTATAAGTGTATATTGATTGATTGATTTATAGTAGTAATGGTGGCGATCCAGGAATTGTCAAGGGCTTTTTTTTCTTTCATCTGTAAGAGGAGTGGCTTTCTCAGCTAAGCACACCCTCCTGTCTGCATGCCTGAGGTAAGGGCAGATGGATTCTGGGAAGTAAATGTAATATGAATCATCTGCCCTTACTTAAGATGGCTGTGATTTTCTGAGGGTACTTTATACCCAGGATAAAGAATGTGCCCAAATACAGAATACCGCCAGGTTGGCATGGTTTCTGGGAAGCAGAATTTACGTTCTCCACCATCTAGATGGATTGGATCAGAGGGCAGTTGGGTGTAAACTTACAGCAGATTCCATTTACACATGGCCGCTCATAGAGCAGAGTGGAACCATAGCATCTGCAGTGTCACATACCTGTATGAGGAGTTCAAGATGATGAGGGTGGCCTCTCACAAAAAAATTCCTGTTCAAACATTGGGATAGGGGCTGCTAGGGCAAAGGAAGGGTGCTGGTGCCACAAAGCTGGAAATGAAGACCTAAATATGGGAGTGCTGGTGTCAGTGAGCAGAAGCAAAGTAATGAGGGCACCAGGAAATCACCACGTCCAGCAGAGAGCAGAGCCGGGTCACGAGCCGTGTTCAGTGACAGTCAAGAAGGCATCAAAGAATGAGGAGGATCAAGGTCAGGAACATGAGCCCTTTTTATCTGCAGTAACATGATTTATTTTTAAACTAAGACTGGTTAAAAAATCACTAATAAAATACTTTTTGGAAAAAAAAAAAAATCAAAGAAAAAGTGAATTTTGTTTAGTTTTTCTAGTTTATTGTCTAAGGATTGCAAGAAAAAAAATTGTTGAGCCAAAACAATATCAGGAAAATAAATGACCTTGTTATCTTAAGTAATGACAAAGTTAATGAATAAACAGGTGCATAGCAGAACTGTAAATATTTCTATGGTCCATAGGGGGTGAACAGGTGTGGGAGGTGAAGAAGTTAGTGCTTGTAAACCCTCACATGTACCTAGTGAAGTGACTGCCCTCAGGTGATACAGAGATGAAACAAAGCATTCTACTTAAGTTGTACCTGTTTATCTGCATCTTCTCTTCTCTACATCCGTTCAATTTCCACAATTTATAAAGCTCGTCTAAGCTTTTAGAAAGCAGGGGGCAAGGAGCTGAAGTTACCAAGCTGAGGCTGTCAGTCACAGCCTGTGAGCTGGAGCTTCCTCCCATGTCACCTTTTCACCTCTTGGTGTCAGAAAAACCTGTCAGAAGTGATTCATGCTGATAACAGAGGAACAAGACAGCAGACAGAAATTAAACTTAGGGCTCTGAATTGAGACAAGTACACACTATAGAGGGGTATGCCTTGTACATATTTTATGCCTGAGGTTTACAACTACTTTAATATAAACAACAAAATATAAATAAAATGATTATAGAGGATAGATCAATTTATCAATTTACAAAAATTTCCTAATATGATAATGGTTAATAAATAAATATATATATATCAGTTTTGTAAATTAAGATGATTTGCCATTAGATTTTCCATTTCAATATCAAACCTGCTGGGATTTTCTGTAACTGAGCAAAAAATTGCCCATTCAATAATTCTTCCTCCTCATGAAATTTAAGCCACACACTGATATCATCATAACTGTGGATACTTTATTTAGCCACACTGGCTTCCTGCACAGTCCACGCCTGTGGTCATGCCCTACTAACGCATTTCACCCCATTGGGCTTAATCATAGTCTTCTTCTTTGCAACCACAGTGACAGGATTCCTCCCCTTCTTCAAAGTCAGAACACTTGGGAAAGCCAACACTTGCTTTTTAACAACTATAAAGAGTAAAAAGTGAAGCAGGGGAGTCCAATCTGCAGCATTTAAAATAGGAAAGGAGAATGACAAATGGAATTCTTCCAATAACATACATAGCTGTGCATATTATTAGTAGTGTTTATAAATTGTGCATGAATTAAAACATTTTATGTGGGGGGGGGGGGGGGGGGGTGGAGGAAGGGGTTTACAATTGTTCTTTAAAGTGGATATATCTTTGGAAGCGGATTTGTTGCTATGATTTATTCTACTTTCAGACAATTTTTGCCCCATGGGAAGTGATTACATATATTCTAATGTATTTATTGATGTATTCCTTTAAAGTGATTTTAAACCCTCACCATGTAAAACAACCTCAGGTTAAAATAGAAATGAAAGGCAAAATAGATAGATAGACTGACAGACAGACAGACAGACAGACAGTCAGACAGACAGTCAGACAGACAGACAGACAGACAGACAGACAGACAGACAGTCAGACAGACAGACAGACAGTCAGACAGACAGTCAGACAGACAGACAGACAGGCAGGCAGGCAGGCAGACAGACAGACAGACAGATATATAGAAAAAACATTATAAATACATGTTGTTAAATTCCCTCTGTTCTCAGTTGCAAAACAGCTGAGGGAGGGGAAACAGCAGTACACTGATCTTCCCAGTGAATGGCTGTGCGGGGGGGGGGGGGGGGGGGGGGGGGGGGGGAGGGTGTCAGCACAAGCCTGATTATTCGAGGAAAGCAGACTGAGTTCTCAGCACAGCTAGAGACCTGACCACGCTGTGCTCTCATGTGGTCAGTTTTTTACTAGGAAAGCAGAGGGACTTGCAGGAACACCAGGAATTTCACACCGAGAAAGCAATACATCAAGAACAGGATACTTTTTCATACAAGTACATGGTACAGCAGGTACATCAAGCATATGAAATGTTGGGTTTACAGATTCTTTAATTGTACACCTGGTCAAACATATTAATTGTATTTTTTATTTTCTTGGGGACTGCAGAGTACAGTATGTTTGACTGATCACCTAGGCAGAAAGCCAATGCAGGAATTCAGTGGATAATATTTGCAATTCGCCAGGAACATTTACATGATTCAAGTCAGTTGTGTTTTGCGCTAATAGTCTGTGCACAAACAAGGAGAACGTAGAGACAATTCCCAGGCATCCAATTCCACATACCAGAGACTGGAAATA